GAAGCAACATAGGGTGGGAGCGCAAGACAGGGGAGGCAGGGCGAGCACGGGAGGGACGGTGAGACCAGACGTGAGACGGAGGAGTCGGGTCAGGAGACAGAGGAGGGGACACAGGGGGGGGACGAGGGGGAAAACAAGCCGGGGACGAGTCCGGCGGAGGGAACACAGGGCCGGAGACGGGAAGAGGAGGAGACGGCCGGGGAGGAACAGACGCAGGGTCAGGGGACGGAAGGCCGAGCAGGAGAAGGGCTGACACCGGCGGGGACTGCTGCTGCGGCGGCGCAACGCCGACACCTGGACCGCAAGCTGCTCCTCGGCTACCACCGGCACACTCCACACCAGCACCCCCAGAGGGAACACCTCCAGGGCTCGAAACCCCTCGAGGACCGGTACCACCCCCAGGGCTACCGGGACGAGCACGCACTCCAACGCCAGCACCCCCAGAGTCAACGAACGGCGGCTGCGACGGCGGCGGCGGCGGCAGCGACAAGGACGGCTGCGGCGGCGGAGGTGACAACGGCTGCGACACTAGGGGCGACAGCAACGACAGAGGCGGCGGAGGAGGGGACGCCTGGGGAGGGGCGGCTGGCGAGGACTGCGCCGCAGGGCCACCAGAGTCAGAAGACTCCTCAACCGGGACCACTGACGAAAGAGGGGTGACGTGGGACACACCAGAGGGGGCAGGACGGGGAGGGGGAGGGGGAGGGGCAGGGACCACCGGGGAGGGAGTGACCAGGAACAGGGGGGGGGTAACCGGGGGACCGCGGTGGGGGAAACGACAGTAGTAGGAGACGGACTCGTCAAAGGTGACGTCGCGAGAGTGAAAGAAGCGGTGAGACGGCGGGTGGTAGAAGTGCCAGTCGGACGCGTCAAGGGGAAAACCGAGGAAGACGCAGGGAAGGGTGTGGGCAGTGAGCTTGTCCGTGCCAGAGGCACGAACGTGAGCAAGGCAGCCCCAGACGTGGAACGCAGACGCGTCACCAGGAGACCCAGTCCAAAGACAGGTCGGCGAAACCTGCGGCTGCTGGGGGTGCGGCCACAGGTTAAGCTGGTGAGCGGCGTAGCGAACGGCGAACGGCCACAGAAAATGGGGTGCACCGGCATGGATCATGGAGGTGCGAGCCACCTCCATGACCAAACCGATGCGTCGCTCAGCGACCCCATTCTGCTGTGGGGAGTCCGGTAGGGTGAACGTCTGGGTGATGCCCTCCGCACGACAAAAGCGACCAAGGATACCGGAGGCAAACTCGCCACCCCGGTCGGAGTGAAGACGCCAGACAGGGAGACCTCGGTGGACACGGGCAGAGACAAGCCAGGGGATGAGAGCGTCAGGCACGTCGGCCTTCCGCTCCAGGGGAAAGACCGAGGTGTAGCGAGTGAAGTCGTAGACGAGCACAAGGAAGTAGCGCTCTCGACGCGGCCCATGGACGGGGGCGGGGCCCCAGACGTCCATGTGCAGGGTCTGCAGCAGCGCGGCGGTAGGGGGAAACGAGGAGGAGTAAGGGGCACGGCGAAGCCGACCCTCGACGCAAGGCGTGCAAGGTGGGGCTGGGGAGGAGGGAAAAGCGGGGAGAGAACCAGGGAGACCAAGGACGAGACCGTGCTGGGACATGTGACGCAGACGCGGGAGCGCAGGGTGACCTAGGCGGTGGTGCCAGAGGAGAGTCGGGTGAGTGAGGGACCGACAGGAGCAGGCAGCAGCAACCTGGGTAGACGCAGCCACCTGGGGGGACGGCCCAGCCGGGGGAGTCACGGTGTCAAGTGTGAACAGGCCGGACACCCTGTCCCGGGGGAACGTGGTAAGGGGGGCACCAGTGGCGGCCTCGGTACAGACAGCATACCGCTCGTGACCAGGGAACGTAGTGGTGACGCCAAGGTCCTGGAGGCAGCCGACACCAACTAGGTTCCTGGAGAACAAGGGGATATGCAGACCTGTGAGAGAGCCCGAAGGAACCGCCGGACAGGGAAGGGAGGTGGAACTGCGGGCGACTACCGGGCCACTGGAGGGGTCAGCAAGAGAAACTGCAGCAGGAACAGGAAGCGGCGTCAGTGTGGTGGAGTCGCGGAAGAAACACCGGAATGCGCCAGAGTCCAAGGTGAAGGAAAGCGCAGCAGTGGCGCCTAGCGGCGGAGAAGCGATGGAAGCACCGAGACTAAACAAAGCAGGTGATCCTACGCCTGACGCAGCAGGGGAGTCTACGCTAGACACACCTACATTAGGCAACACGGGGTAATAAGAAGGAAGCACACTAGAGTCATCAGCATACATCACATGCAGGGCGGCTACAATGGCATCCATGTCCAAGTCAAAAATCTGAACTCTACGACTAAGCAAACTGTGCCAGTCCGGGAGGTCTGGCGACGGGCCGAAGCGCTGACGAAACAGGTTGTCTAGGCGACAAAAACTGCGAGGAGTGGAGTGACCGATCTTACCGCAAACGAAGCCGCGGCGAGGACCGGTCTGGATCTGGTACTGACAATGCACGCACTCGGCACACCACCACTCGGCACACCACCACGCGCCCGACCACCGCCAGTGCCGGGCCACCCGGGCGGGAGGACACTCGTCTGCCTCGGCTGCGACGGCTGCTGCGACTGCGGCGGCTGCTGCGGCTGCTGCTGCTGCGACTGCAGGGGCAGCAGCTCAGCTGGACTGGGCAGGGTCCCCTCGTCCGCTCCAGCACCAGACGACCCGACTCCACCACCACCCCCTCCCGCACCCCCGCCTCCTCCGCCGCGCCCAACCTTGGGGCGGCGGCCCTTCCCCGAACGAAACTGCGCTGCAGCAGCAGTCTCAGCCACAGCGGCAGAGCCGTCGGAGAAGGTACACACTGAGCGGGGGCACAACCCTTAAAGATAGGGACCGGCACGGTACCGCTCGCCTGGGCGATGGAGCGGTGGCGGGTCTCAATCACAGTCAGGGTGTCGACAAAGTCAGTGAGGGTGAGGTCTGCGGGGTGAAGGCTAAGGAAGCGGTCGCGAGCGACAGCAAGGCGGTCAGGGAGGCGGGTGGCAAGCAGGTAAAGGGTAGAGGTAATGGGCGGCTGGTGGGCTCTAAGCTGTGCGTCAGTGCAGGCAGCGCGCCAGGTCTCATCTATCGAGCGCAGGTGGGCAGCGAGGTCAGAGACAGTGGGGAAAGATGCAAGGTCAGGAAAGAGCATCGGGAGGATCAGGCGGCCCACCGAGGCAGCCGGAGGGGTGGAATAGCGCTTGATGACAGCATCTAAGTATGCCTGAGCAGTAGTGAGGGACCTAAAGCGAGGGCGCTCAGACGGGGGAAGGGCGTTGCTAATGGCAAGCTGGGCGACAGCATCGCGAGAAAGCCAGACAGAGCGCGCACGGGCAGTGGCAGCAGTAGACTCGCGCTCAGTGGGTGTGGAGTCAGCGGGCAGAATAGCAGGGGGGTCTGGGCAGGGAAGCGTACCGTCAAGGTGTGCGGAAAGCGGTTCACCATCCTGCCGCTGGCCAGTGAGTTGGCGGCGGAGGTCGGCAAGCCACGCCTCGAACTCCAGAGGCTGGCCTTCAGCGTCGAAGCGAAGCTCCGCCGCCATCAGGGGCAGTGCAGGACGGGACAGTGTAGTGCAGTGATGGGGCAGTGCAAAGCAGAGCAGTGCAGGGCGGTGCAGTGCAGGGCAGGGCAGTGCAGGGAGGGGGGGGGGGCGGAAACCGTACCAGTGAGGATGAATGGGCCGGGGCAGGGAGGAGCACAGGGGCCGGGCAGGGCGCCACAGGGCCGGGCGGGTGCGACGGGGCCGGGCCGGTGAGACAGGGCCGGGCGGGCGCGACGTGGCCGGGCGGGCGCGACGAGGCCGGGCGGGTGCGACGGGGCCGGGCGGGGCCAACGGGGCCGGGCCGGTGCGACGGGGCCGGGCAGGTGCGACGGGGCCGTGCGGGTGCGACGGGGCCGGGCGGGGGCGACGGGGCCGGGCCGGTGCGACGGGGCCGGGCGGGTGCGACGGGGCCGGGCAGGTGCGACGGGGCCGGGCGGGCGCGACGGGGCCGGGCGGGCGCGACGGGGCCGTTCAGGCGTGACGGTGGCCCAGGAGGGGCACTACGGGGCCCAGCAGGGGCGCAATGGGGCCGGGCGGGCGCGACAGGGCCGGGCGGCTGCGACGGGGCCGGGCAGGTGCGACGAGGGGCCAGGCGGGGGGGGCGACAGGGCCGGGCGGGGCGCGACGGGGCCTGAAGGCGCTACGGGGCCCAGGAGGGGCGTTACGGGGCCCAGGAGGGGCACTACGGGGCCCAGGAGGGGCACTATGGGGTCCAGGAGGGGCGCGACAGGGCCCAGGAGGGGCGCTACGGGGCCCAGGAGGGGCGCTACGGGGCCCAGGAGGGGCGCAACAGGGCCTAGGAGGGGGGGCGCGACGGGGCCCAGGAGGGGCACTACGGGGCGAGGGGCGCAGCAAGGCCCGGGAGGGTCGCAACGCGGAGCTAGGGGGCCGCGACGGGGCTAGGGGGTCGCGACGGGGCCCAGGGGGACGCGACGGGACTGGGGGGGTCGCAACGGGGCCCAGGAGGGGCGCGGCAGGGCTAGGGGCACGACGGGGCCCAGGGGGGGGGGTCGCGACGGGGCTAGCGGGGGGGGGGGCACGGCGGGGCCTAGCTAGGAGACGAGCGGAAGCGGTAGGTGGGGGGATCCTAACCTACGCGTGATACCATATCAAGTTGAGAGAAATGTTGTGTATAGAGTGAGAGTACAGATAGATATACCTAAGTGTTGTACCCTCTAAGAGCTGACCCTATTCGGTCTATACAAACATAACAAATACACATGTTTGACACACATACCAAGGGAAGGCAGGGAGGGGACTCTGCCGAATCAGACAGACCCAAAACCAAAACCAATTTGGGGGCCGGCTCTAAGAGCATGCACCGATCTAGCCTATAATAACATATATACAAATATGTTTGACACCCAGTTCATAGGAATACCCCCTAAATTGTGCAGCACAACTTGTTAGCCTCTTCTCGCGCAAGTGAAAATAATGAATGGGATTATTAAATCCAAGTGGTGTCTATTTTGCAAATATCCACTCTAGAATAGAATCCTTCAATATCCAACCAAAGCATGCAGGAACTAAGAAGGGCACCTGATACACACCTATCCCATCCCATCCCCCGAACTGAAACCGCACACCCATCCCCCACTCCACCCCGGCACCTCCAGCACAGCTCCAAACACCTCATAAACGCTGCCTTCCCTTTCCTCCTCCCATTCCCTCCACCCCACCCATCCCTACCCACACAGAGGGCCTCCTCTCCATTGCAAGCCCATGCGAGCCCATCCCTGGACCTTGGCTCACTCACTGCCACTGCTGCTGCCGTCGTTGCCTTCTCCCACTTGCACAAACTCAATCACCTTCACCACTGAGTGGAATGACACCTGCCGCCTGCCCCCCCTGCTCGGACTCTTCACAAGCCCAGCCACTGGTGCTGATTCTGCCCCTTGTAGCTCTGCCTCTGATGCTACTGAAGTGGCTGCACTGGCGGAAGCAGCAGCAGCAGCAGCAGCAACGCTCTCGTCTGCCTGGCAGCCTTCCTCTTCCAAACCAGAAAAACAGCTGCTCGCAGCCCTGTCAGTGCTGCTGCTGCCGCTGCTGCCCACGGTGTTGCCACTTAAGCCCGGACCTGTAGCTGGTGCTGCTGCGCCTTGCTTCTGTCCCTCTTCCACCAGCTCCTCTCCCTCCCCCTCGCCCTGCCCCCCCCGGTCCGCCCGCTCCCCTCCCCTCTCCCCTGACCGTCCCCCCAGCCCTTGCCTGGTGAGGGACGGCGCTCTGGGGGGCAGAGGCGGGAGGGCCGGCTCTGCAGGAGCGCCCATTGCAGCGTTCCTACTAGTAGTACCGGCCGTGCCTGCCGTGGATCGCCCCCCATACTCCTCCATGATGTCACACCATCGCCCCTGCATGCCCATGCTGCTGCCACCACCACTTCCGCCGACGCTGCTGCCGGTGCCGCTGCTGAGAGGGGCACATGATAGACCACTTATGGCAGGTGACGCTCCATATGCTGCTGACCCCTCTACACTGCCCCAGGGCCGGTCGGTACCCGCAGAAGGAGGAGAGGAGAGAAGTGCTGGGGACAGGCGAGAAGAAAGCAGTGTGGGATCCTCTTTGCTTCCGACCTGCAAGCCTACTGTGCTATCGTCACCTCTCACCTTCCCCCCACCACCGCCAGTGCCACCGCCGGTACTGTAACTGCTGTAACTGCTGTAACTGCTGCTGCTGCTCTTCCCTCCTCCAAGGACCCAGCCCAGACCCGAGATCGCACGAGGGGAGAGAGGCGGCGCATCAGAGGTACTGTTACTGCCGCCCCTCTGCCTCCTCTCCGCCCTCTTCTTCCGCCTCAGGTACACCTGGTCCAGGCTCAACTGCCGGTTGAACATCCCCGCTTCTTCCTCCGTGGACTCTTCTCTCTCCCCTCTCTCCTCTCTCTCCGACCTGCCCATCCACCCTCCTCTCAACGCTCCGTCTTCCTCTGCATAACCCTCTGGTCCCCCTCCTCCCCTCCCATCACTGCGATCACCACCACCAGCACTGCCGCTGCCACTGCCACTGCTGCTGCTGCTGCCCTTGCCTTTGCGGTGGCCAAACAGCCTCTCCAACGAGGGCGCGCCACGTGGCAGCAGCAGGGCGTTCTGCTGATGTTGTGCGTGTGCCTGCAACGAGGGGCCACGGAGGCTAAAGAAGGACTCGAGGCGGGAGGGAGGAGCAGAGCCCGATCGGGCCGTGGCTGCTGCCGCTGCTGCTCCTGTACCCGCTGCTGCCGCCGCTGCAACCGCAACTCCAGACCCGCCCACAGGAGCAGCAGCAGCATCAGAAGCGGCAGCCGCAGTAGTGGAATTGTTAGAGGGCAATTCAAGAGGGAACTCAGCGCTTCTGATCGCCCAGTTTGCAGCGCCTGCTGTAGGAAAGCCAGACCTTTCAGGACTGCTAAAAGGACCACCCTGGCGGGATGAGGACAGGAGATGCACCGATGCAGCACTGCCTTCTCTTCCCACTCCCTCTCCTCCCCCAATCTCTCCTGTGCCAGTATCTACCGCCGCCCTCCTCGCACTACCGAACCCCGCCCTCACAGGAATGCTCCCCTTTAGCAAATCGCCTCCCCAGTACGCTTTCCGCCCACTGCTGCTCCCCCCCATCCCTCCCCCCCCGCCCCCGCTCCCACCATGCCTGCCGCTGCTGCTGCTCCTCGCACTGCTGCTGCCTACCCCCCCCTTGCTGAAGCTGCTTCCGCTGCTGCTGCTGCTGCTGCCCCCGCCGCCTCCCTTGTGCGCCCTTCTCTCAAACCTCCCGCTTCCCCTGAAACTCCCCCCAATGGCTCCGCCCCCTTCCATAGGCGCGCCGAGCTCCGCCCCCAGGCCCCCTGCGGCCTGGCGGAGCAGATTAAAGCCGCACCCGGGGATTTGGACCACATCGAACTGAAACTCCCCGGATCCGCCCTCTTCCAATTCCCCTTCCGCACCAAAACGGCTCTCTTCCCTTGATCCTCCTGCTCCCCCTGCTCCTCCTGCTCCTGCGCCTCCTGCTGCGGCTGCTGCTGCCCGTGCTGCTGCTGCTGCTGCTCCGCTCTGCTGCTTCTTTCCCTCCCCCTGCCCCAGGCCTTTTCCCCCTGTTCTCTTCCCCGCGCCTACCGTATGCGCCCTGCGCCAGTCCCGCGGCTTCCCCTCGCCGCGCTCCCGCTCAGCGGGCGCACTGGAGAAGCGCTTCAGGTTGTCTGAACTAGCGGGGCGCGGAAGCCCACGGGGCGCGCTGCCCCCGCCACTCCTTCCACCTACCCCTCCCCCCGCTCCCAGTCCTCCCCGAAACATGCCCTTGCCCAGCGCCTCCTCTGCTCTACTCCGCGCGCCCCCGCCCCCTCCGCTTCCGCCGCCCCCCACGTCCCCGTCGCAGCTGCTGCTTCCGCCAATGCTGCCGTTGCTGCTGTGCCCCGCGCTGCTGCTGCCCGCGCCGCCGCTGCCAAAGCCGCTGGAGAGAAACGAGGAGTCAATGGAGAGAGAGAGCGAGGAGAACGCGAGCGAGTCTATGGACGCGCGCGCCCACGTCTCGTTGCGCCGCGACGACCCCACGCGCTGGTCCGACAGCGGGATTGCGCCGAACGGGGGGAGCGCGGACGGAGGGGATGCGGAGGGAGACGACGCCGAGAACGGCGGCAGGGAGGGGAAGGAGGGGGAGACTGGGGGAAGCGGGTAGGCGGAGTCAGGGGAAGGGTTGGAGGCGTGGAGGGGGGAGGCGGAGGGGGAGGAGCAGGAGGGGGAGTGGGCGAGGGGCAGTGCGGGCATGGAGAGGTTGGGGGGAAGTGGCGCGGGGCGGGATGCGCAGGCGGAAGCGGAAGGGGAGGACGCGGAGGAGGCGGAGGACGGGAAGGACGGCGGGGCGGGGGGCAGAGGCGCAGAGGATGATGTGGGGAACAGTAGCTGGGGAGAACCGCTGGCGGAGGCGGAAGAAAAGGCGAAGGAGGCGGTGGCGGCGGAGGCGGAGGCGGAAAAGCCTGGGCGCGGCGGAGCGGGGGGCAGGTATCCGCGCGACTGCCAGATCTGGTGCAGCGTGGAGGCAGAGAGGAGGCGGTCCGCGGGCACCCAGGGGGGCGGCGGCGGGCAGTCGTCCGCCAGAAGCTGCCACGCGCAGTGCGCCTGCGCCACCACCACCATCGCCGCCTCCATTCCGCCTGGCTCCTCGCCCAGCGGAAACTCCGCCTCGTCGTCGTCTGCCGGGGAAAAGAGGGAGACAGGTGGAGAAAAGGGGCGGCGAGGGGCGGGTCGTGACGACGATCCGAGGGGGAGAGAAGCGGAGAAAAACAGCGGAGAGGGGCGGGAGGAGGGGGAGGGAGGCGGATATTACACATGTGACTTGTCCCCTGAGTCCCTGACTCAATACAGGGGCGATATAGTATGCACCATGGGTTGAGAGCGGTTTGCATAGTCTGCTCACCTGGGTGCACGCACGGCGCGAATCGCACCCATTCCAAGAGCTGCTCCAACATTGGCAGCAGCACGGGGGGGATTCCCGCGGCGCCCTCTTGTATCACACCCGCTAAGGCGTCCTCCGTGGAAACCACCACCACTATCCACGACAGCGTCCGCCGCCCGTCCGCGCATTCTTCCGCTCCCCCGCCCCCCTCCCGTTCCCCTTCCCCATCCCCTCCCCCGACCCTGGTTCCTCCCCCACCAGCCTCCCCCTCCGCGCAGCGCGGCGGCCCCGCCACCGCAAACACCGCGAGCGGGCGCACGGAGCACACCTCCCCCGTGCGCATGCGCTTTCCGCCGATCTCTATCGCCTCTATCGGCCGCCCGTCGTTCACCAGACCCTCCCACACGCTGCCTCCGCCGCCGCCGCCGCCGGTGGTGCTGTCTCCGCCTCCCCCCGCGCAAATACCGCCCGTCACGTCCGCCCCCACAGGCTGCTCCGGATCCGCGTACGTCTGCGGGAGGAAACCGACGTTGAATATCGAGTTCTCCGCATAGTGCTGCGGCAGGAGCCGCGCCCAATCCACCGCGCCGCGTCCCTTAGTACCCTCCGGCCGCTGCAGACCCCCCTGCTCCTCTCGCGCCGACGACCCCAGCGGCGGCCCCTGCTGAGGCTCCGCCGGCGCGGGCGCGGACGACGAGGAATCAGCGGCGGCGGCGGCGGCGGGAGATGCGGCGGACGCGGACGGAGCGCGCTGGACGCGGATGGGCGAGTAGTCCTCGTCGGGAGCCGCCTCGTACTTGACCCAGCAGTCCTGCGGCGTCTTGCACACGAAGTGCAGCGCGCCGTTCTTGGCGTGCAGCGGCACGTGGTGCCACGGCGACACGAGCTGCCCGTGAAAATCGAGGAGCAAGGAGCGGTAGTTAAGAGACCCCGGGTATCCGAACTCCACGCTCGTCCACGGGCAGAGGCGGTCAAGTAGCGCCGCGGCTTCCGCGGCAGCAGCGGAGGGGGACGGGGAGGGGGAGGCGGAGGGGGAGGCGGCGCGCGGGGAGTCGGGGGTGTCGGCGCCGAGGATGGAGTCCCAGGAGCGCGACACGGAGGACGACGCGGCGGCCATGGCGCGCGGGAGGTGAGCAAGCGGGAGTGACTGGAGGAGGAGGGAGGAAGGAGGACGAGGGCGGGTGGTAGTCGTGCGGGGGCGGGGAATGTTGGACTCGGGTTGTGGGGATAGGCGGCGGTCAGAACGTGCAGTTAGGGTTGGAAATGTGGGAGGGGAGAATGGAGTTGGGAATGGCACGAGCTGGGATTATGGCGGGCGTTGAGGGAACGCTCGGAGAGAGCAGCGGGAAAGTCGCAACGTTCCGAAGGCGTTCCGAGGAGAACTAACGCGGCGAGTGGCCTTGTTCCGTTCGGTTCGGTACGGTAACCTGACTATTCGACGCGGAGGAAGCGACGAGGAGGAGGCAACATGGTGCTTCCCACCTGGTAGAAGCAGCGGAGGTAGTATGCGCCGGGAATGGTTGCTGGGATCGCTTGATGACGTCAGCAGGATGGGAGAGGAGAGCGGTACTACATCTAGGAGGGAAAGAAGTCCCCCGTCCTGTCCTGTTCAGCTGTTGAGACGGCTCACAACTAAATCCCCCGTCCTGTCCTGGTCAGCTGTTTAGGCGGCGGTCATTTCGCTCACGCGAAGGGACACTGGAGCGCGCGCGGATGTTTCACTGGAGCCCGTCGACAACACGATCAGCGAACTGCTGCCTCGTACGCGATTCTCCCGATCTGGTTATCGATCTGAGTTTGTAGGACTGCTACTGAAGGACGCTGTTACGCTCGCGACGCACTCCCCGGCGCCCCGAGATCAAGTCGCCGCTGTGGGAACCCTCGCACACGTGGCCGTCGCCTCTCGCGTCTGGCGAACATCGAGCACCCTAAACCCGCACAGCCACGATCAATTAGTAGCACCCAGGTACAGTACCGCGCGGGAGCGCGAGCCGACTGCCACAATGTGGGGGGTTTGCCCTGCACCGCAGCGCGTGGGGTGAAGGGGGAGGTAAGATGACGTAGGAGGATGTACGGGTAGTGGGATGAAAGATCAGCAGGGGGGATGGCGATGGATGGATGGGGGATGGGGGCAATGGCGGACAGTGGACAGGGGAGCGGCGCGGGTGCGCTGGGGAGGCTAAGGGGCTCGGGCTGGGACGCGAGGGAACCAGCCAAGGATGGGACAGTTGGATCTACGACGGGAAAGGGGGTCATGTCATGAGTCACAAATGCCAGAAGAGACGTGGGGAGTTGGTCGGTTTAGGTTCTCAGACACGCAACACCACAAGGCTGTTTTTGTCGGTCTGCAAGTGCTGCTGAGCAGAACCACAACTGTCATATCATACAGTTACAACTGTCTTGTCTAGTTGCGGAAACTAGGGGCCCTGCTGGGTTCTCCCCATGGCTTATTTCAAGAGTAAATATCCAAATTTCGTCAAAAATAACGGGTGAGTTTTCGACCGATTCTGGATTCTGACGTGTTCGTTTTCCACGAAGCCGGATTCTGACGGGTATAGGTTTAGCCGCACCCGTGAAGTAACGTGTTTGTTTTGCGAAGTACCCAGATTTGTCGGGTGAGCCCCTGGCAAAAACGGATCATAAAGCAACAAAACCCCCTAATCCCCCACCCCGCCCTCTCCCTTTCCCCTTCAGAAAAAAAAAAAACAAAACAAAACAAAACAAAACCATAGATTGGATGGTGGTTCACAAGAGTGAGAAGACTGAGGGCACAGAGCCTAGCAAGGAGTTTGCGGAAGGGGAGTCGTGTGTTTCGTTCTTATTGAGCCCTTGAACTGGCAAATTTGACGCTACGCAAAAATTTCCGGAACTGACGTGTTGTTTTTGTTTCCACTCGAATTCTGACGACTGACATTTAGGTTACACCCAGGAAATATGGGTTCCAAATATAGGTACCCGGATCTGCCGTGTGGACGAAAACCCAAAGGTAAGCCCTGGTTCTCCCTGCCTCCCATGGTTCCACCCCACACCATTCTCTGGCTGTGAAGGACTTCCGTGCCCGAAATGGAACACATAGAATGCTGGCCGGGAAGGTGACGAGGGAAGCCTGCCACAGCAGGGTTAAAAGTCGGGAACACGGCTGCGGAGGGAGGATATATCGCAAGGTAGGTCACGAAACCTTCCTCAACTATCCGGGTACTACAGTTTATATAGCCTGCAAAAAAGAGGCCTGGAACGGAGCCATCTTTCCCTCCACCAGAGGCCGGTGTTGGTGCATTGCGGAAAAGAAGGAACGTGCATGAAGGATGGATGGAGGGGATTGGGGGAAAAGGGGGAGGGGGTTAGGCTGGGATCTAAAGGCTGCCCGACTTTAAAACACCTTGTTCACGAGTCGCGCTGGATGAATGTGGATGAATTAATGATCGGGGGGGAACAATTTGGGACAGTATCGGGCTGAGCATTTTGCGGACACCATGTGTACTGTACAAGAGACAGACGAGCAGGCATCTCGAAGAAACGGAAACCCTAATCGTGCCGCTGAGTTTAGTCGGTTAGGACCTGGCTCAACGCGGACCGTCCATCTGATAGCCTGTCACATGCTGTCAGACACCTCACTCACTCGCCTCGCGCCTAACTTTGCTCCAGCCGCACAGACCCTGGAGGAGTCTCTCAACTCAAGTCTCGATCGACTCGGTTATTGCGTAAGTAACAGAACAAACAGAATCAGGGAGATCTGGGCATCTTGGGGTGTATTCTGGCTGGTCCCAGTTCATAACCATCAGAAGATCACATCTGGCAATTCCATACAATGCGCCCTCTACAAGTGCAACAACTCCAAGAGCAATCATTCGCAAATAGCATTATATCCATATACTCAACCCCCACATACGCACGAAAAGGTGAAACTGGCCAATGACGCACAATCACAGCCACAATCACAGGAGCAATTCTAAGTGGTCGAAGACCACGACGATCCCACAGTGTCAGGGTCACGACCCAATGAACACCACGCGCCACATGTCATCTTTTGCATGCAAAACTTGCTGAAATTCTGCAACACGAGCAGTCTGTCGCGCCCAACCACAGCACGCCATCCGGCCTTCCCCCTTCGAGAATTTCATCCAGAAGGACATATCAAAATGAGTAGTGAGTAGAATAGAAGGATGCAGGGGTATATAGACTAGGGGTTGTACCCTCTAAGGCACAATCCAGAATAGTCTATAGCAACTACATAAGTTACATTTGACACACCCCCTAGACTATATAGGGGCAGTGCCTAACCGGAGAAGAAGCAGCTCAGGTCGGCACTACTAATCCAGCCTCTGAGCAAAGGGTCTAAAGACCAGTCAAATGAATACAGGCAAGGCAAGAGCAGGACCAGGGCAGCACTATAAGTCCAGCCACTGGAAAAGGCCACAAGGCCAATCAGGGTAATATATGTAGAAAAGTTTTGTACACAATCAATGTTCTAGCAAGTGAGAAGCTATAAGAACAAGACCAAGCTCTACACAGTGCTGCTGATGATCTTTAAGCGCAAGCGCCTTCGTAAAGATATCAGCTGTATTGGCACTGGAGGCCAAGTGTACTACACGGGCCTGGCCATGCTGCTGTTGAAAATAGCCCTTATCATGCGAAGGTTGCAGTAGTCTGCGGAAGCGGCGTATCAACGAAGTCTGCGGAAGCGGCGTATCAACGAAGTCTGCGGACACGATCCCTACAGAAAGGCCCATAGACAAAGAGCAGATTTGTCGACAAGGCGAGGCTCTGCAGGAAGTGGCAGAAGAGCAGTTTTCGTTGGTGGCAGAAAAGCGGTTCTGTCGGAATGGTAGAACAGGAGCGCATTTTCTCCATATGGCTTGTACAGAGTTTAGTGCTTTTGTAGAAGTGGTCTTGGTAGAAACGCGAGTGTAGAAGACCCTCTGCCGATTTGGCACCAGGAGCCATTCGCAGAAGGGTTGCCTTCTGCAGAAGTATCGCGCAGAAGACATTTCTGTGGGCGACCCTTTCGGCAGAAGCGACTCAACAGAAATGCGTTCCAGCAGGACCTCGGGCAGAGTGCGCAAGAACCTGTTCGCGCAAAATTGCGTTCTGCGGGAGTTCGGCAGAAATGCAATTCGGCAATCTCTTATGTGACGACCCCCTCGGCAGAAACGAAATTCGGCAGAAGTGCGACAGAGAGTCATCTCGGACTTCACTTCTGCGAGAGACCCCTTCGAATTAAAAACAAGGACTTGTTTTTCTGGTGAAGGTGCGTTCCGAAATCGCGAGATATTTGCAATTTCATAAGTTAACCTCAGAACCATTCTTGACCGAAAACGGCAAAATCTACCTGCGCCATTGAGAAATTGAACACGTGACGCACATTTCGTAACTGCGGAAATGTGCGTAACATCTGACAGTTTCATATCTGAAACTGTTAAAACAACTACTTCTAAGTGGGTAAAAATTACCAACTAAGCATGTGCTGTAATTTTCACCTGCCATTGCTGACTTGGCTAAGCGCATCTTAGAGTAGTTATGTAAACGTTCTTGTGCAAACGTTCTCTCCATGTTCAATGAGGTTCAATGGGGTAGTACTAGTGTTTGCCTTGTGTACCATACTTCGTAATCTTGACACTAGTGAATTTGCATGCCTAAGCTTTCTCAAGCTACTCTGTGAAACACACAATTCTGGAGGCAACTTTCTCCTTAGAGAACGACAGAGCTAGAGAGCTCTATATGCGTCAGGCACTTCCGCAGAAGCTCTCGTTATAGCAGTAAACTCTGCATGGTGCGGTGGGCGTGGAACAACACGCGAACGATAGAGGTCAAATCTACAACGTTAGGTCTCGCAGAAGGTCTCGATTGTCGGTATGACGGACGGCGAGTCGGACGTCTGCGAGGTGGTCGACAATCTCGAGACGCAGGAGGCTGCCTTGATAGCCCGCTATGAAGACCTCCCAGAGAAGGAGCTCAACTTCATGCTGATGGGGTTACGAGCTCAATGGGAGATGGATCATCCGTGGGCGCGTGCAGTGGAAGTCTCCCGACACAAGGAGAACGTGGAAGGTTTGGCAAAAGGCGGAGTGCGAGAGTCGCGCGGTGTTCTACGAGAAGGGGAAACGCCGAATGGTGAAGGATCAAGCATGGGCGACGGAAGGGACCCTGCAAGGGGGTCAAGCTTGCAGAAGAAAAGTGCTGCTGAAGAAGGCCGTTCTGGCGGTCGTGACGGCGCAGACAACGCTGCCGACGACTCTACTGCCTTTCTACCGACAGCCTCAAAGGATTGAGGGATTGCTCCTAAATTCGGCTACTTCAAGTTTTCTCCTGACAAAATTGTGGTGCCAAGGCTCCTTGAGGGACGACACAATTTGGCGTCGTGGGTCAAGTCCATAGAACCTCAGCTGGAGATTGCGCAACTGAGGCGGTTTGTCGACGAGTCAACGAAAGCCCCTCCTGTGTCGGATGCATCGCGGTACGGGCAGTTCCGCTCTGCCCAGCTACTGACATTTATGGTGATCTCGCGCTGCTGCTCGCCTTCTGTGAAGATGGCGTTGAAGGGTTGTCGTCTGCGAGTAGATGCGGGCTACCAAGCATGGCGTTTCATCATGAAGACTTACAAGGCCACTGACGATCTCTACATTGGTCAGTTGGAGCAGAGTCAAGCAGGTCTAGAGATGGCAGAGTACGAGACCGCTACCGCCTACTGCACCCGTGCACAGCAATTGCTGGCTAATCTGAGGATGATCGGAGTACGGTAATCGACGGCTTCCTACGTGACGCACGTCGTCAAGGTTCTGTCGTCGCAGTACAGCTATCTACGGCGCATGATCAAGTTTCCACATGTGCGGAAAACCCTCGACGAAAACACTCTGACGAGCTACATCGTTGAGGAAGAATCTACCCTTGCGATCGAGCAGTGCAAGGAGTCTCCTGTGCCACAGTCGAACTGGGCGTCGACGGGACAACCACCTCGGCAACAGCAGCAGCAGCAGAGGCAATGGGTTTCTTCTACGAATGACTCCGCCGCAGAGCAGAATGACGGCCGCAACGACAAGAAGAAATAGGCCAAGAAAAACAAGGATAAACCCTGTTTCGTCTGCGGTGAAATCGGTCACTTCGCTGCTCATTGCCCAGATCCCAAAGGCAAGGGGAACGCTGATCATTCGTAGAAG